GCATTTCTCGACAGAGACACACTTTAGTGGTTGCGACATGGACGGCCCTCGACCTTCAATGGATCCTAATCATATGCTGCCACGGCCTGGCGAACGGCAACGGCCCTCCTCTAAACAGAACCGCTTCGATCCGACGCGCGACCTCTCCTCACCGCCGTCCTATGCGCCTCCGAGCTATCAGAACCACCCGCAATCCCGCGCCGAACTCCTGCCACCCATCCTACCGCCAGCTGCCGTTCACCATGATCCCGCGTCGAACAAGCTGCCCTCGCTATCGTCCCTGACCGGCCCGCCCCCGCCCTCCCGTAACCCTCCCCCGATCCCGACTTCGCGGCCGTCAACCTCGACTTCAATCTCATCCAGTGCAACCACAAAGACGGCGCCTGCCCCCCAGGAACCTGCGGCGCCCGCCATCACGCACTGGCCGAGCATGAATCCGTTCACAACCTACTACACCCCGAGCCATGTCCAGCAGGCTGTCCAGTCTCCCGCCAAGATGGATGTGGACACCACCTCCAGCGCCGGCAACAGTCACACTGGCACCTCGCCTGACAGGTTGTATGACGCGCGAAGCGTCAGCGTCAGCCTGGACGACCCAGAAGTGCGGCTGGCAGCTGAAGCCTTGGGAGATCTCAGAGCAGGTGAGCGACATTGAAATGCTTGCTGGCTTGGCCATTCAACTAACACACGTTTCCCCAGACTTTGTCAACTCCCCCCCTACTAGGAGCACCCCCCTTCCTACAGGGTCGCCAGCCCTGTCGCTCGCGGCGCGTTCGAGCACAAACACCCAGTCACCTCAACAAGAGCCGCTCTTCTCGCTCCTCACAACATCTCACCCTTTGCTTGCGACCACCATCGAAGGTGCCACCTCGGCTTACAACAACTCCAAGAACTTCTCGCCTCGCTTCAAGACGAGCGCCGAGTACGTCGAAGGCTACCTCACGCCCATTGCGAATACGGTTGGATCCGGTGGGCCGCGTTACTGGCGTCGAGGGTGGAGTCAGGTGGTTCCTGGGTGAAGGTCGCCGGCCTTCGGACCTTGAGGCTGGGCAGGGTAGCTCAAATAAGAGGAGGAAGGTCAGGGGCGACGACATGGTTGGCGTTGTCGTGGATCCCGCTGCGCATATCCTTGCCGCCGCTGCTGTTGCCGAACAGGAATCGAACCGCGACTCGTACCTTTTCAAACATGACAGACGCCTGTCGAGGGCCAGCACCATTGATACACTCCCCGCTTACGACGAGTCTCGCTCTCCAGCCTACACCGAAGATGACAAGCAGAATGCTCAGAGGGGTAGCGCAGCTGAGGCGCGCAAGTCCCGTCTGGTCATCTCAACGTCTGGTCTAGCCGTGTCAATGAGCAAGGAAAGCCTCCGAAGCCTGAAGTACTGCCTGCGATGGCTCCGACTGGCCAACGACCACATTGGCGGCGTCGTCGGCCATCTCAAGACGACACTTGAACAGTATGACAAGGCTGCGGGCCCCGGCCAGGAAGTCAAGGCCGAGCAGTCGCCTGACGTTGAGACTATGGAAGTCGATGGCCGTACCTCCAATGATACGGAACACCAGGAAGACCCCACTGTTCTCGCCGCTAGGATCACGGCTCTCAAGGCCGATATCCTCAAGAACTTGCAGGCCGCCATCGAAACCGTGTCCAAGTACGCCGGCGGAGCGCTTCCCGAGAACGCACGGGTCTTGGTCCACCGACAGATCACCAGCCTGCCGCAGCGCTTCCGCTATGCGAGCATGGTCGAGCAGCAGCAGAACCAGGAGGGAGGCGAGAGGCAGCAGGAGGAGATAACACGCGAGGGCGCCAACAGGGTGCTTGTCCTGGCCAAGGAGGGCCTTGACATGATCACCCAGGTCAGCGGCGTCATTGACGGAACCATTGTCAGCGCCGAGGAGTGGTGTGATCGTCTCGGCAGCAAGCGCAAGGATGAGGGCTCGGTGCTGCCGGAGGCACATGTGCCGGTTGGGGACGTCAAGACGGCATGAAGCGTCGAGCTACGAGGCCAGAGCACTCTTGAGTTGACCATCTACCTCACCTACAAAGAGAAGGCAATCGTAAGTAAGCGATACGCCGCGGGGAGCATCAGATGGGAAGCGTAAAATACGAAAAGCAAGAATATATTCCTGACCGAAACGGGATACGAATACGAAACACGGCGGAAGAGAAAAAAAAATAGGGTGCAGACCAAAGACTTTGTTCAAAGGACGAGAACCCAAACAAACTCCAATCCATCTTCTATGATACCACGGAGGCTACCGCCCTCATTGATATTTTTATTTTCCTTTCTGTTTTCAAGCCTTCATCCTCACCACCGCCCACCACCCCCCCCCCCCATATCTTCTCATTTCTTCGGCTACCATTTATACCATGAGAGCTACCAGGGGCTTTATTGTCATTTGCTTTTATTATCCTTGATCTAACTTAGAGGGTTTCCACACCCCATCTGCTCGCGCGAGGGGGGATTACGGGGACATCCTCCTTTTACTCGTGGGCGGGCTGGGTGGATGGGAGATATACGGGAAACCAGAACCTGTGTCCAAGAGGCACGGGACCTGTATACTACGCCGTGGGGCAACCATGGAGTTTGCATGCCTGGGCCCTCACGGCGCTCGAAGTAACAATCTAGGTCACAGCGGGGAGTCATTCCTTTGAGCCGAAAACTAAGGGAAGAAACACCC